AAATGTAATGTCTTTGTTATTAATGGGAATTTATATAGTAATGTCTAAGTGAGGGGAACTTATATATTGTAGAGTAAGGCTTGTGTGCACACGACACTCATTGGTGTCGTCTGCAAACAATAAGACCTATTGATTCAAAAGCATATAAATACTGAGGTACTTCTCATTGAAGAGTCACTCAAGTGTTGAGCTAAGACTTAAACTGGTCAGCTCAAGAGCTATAGAGTTTAGACTTTAAACAGTTAACTCTAACAGTAGCTAAAGCTCTGCCTGGACTGGCAGGCCTTTGCTATGCATAAACTTGCATAGCATTGGTCAGCAGTTCCGGGCAGTGCAGGGTTGTTATATTGTAATGTACTGATGTATACTTTTATTTTAATCAATTATTAATAAACAATACTTTTACTTATTATAATGTGAGTACCATTATTCGGATTACTTCATTGTGTTAACTGTGATATTAAGGATTACTAAGACTTTCAACAAGCGATCATTGGCGAGATCTATCAGCGGACGGATCTCGGGTTGTGTGTGTCTACTATGGTCCGGGACTAACAGCGCATATAGTGGACAGAAAAAACGGCAACACAACACAATATATATATATATATATTGATATTATTCATGTAAATTAAATAATGGTAGCACAAAAATACTAAACAATATATCAATTTTCTAAATTTTTTTGGTGTTTTAAATATTTTATAATAAATTGTTTGTACTATTAATATAAAGTTATATATATATATATATATTTATAACACTTTATAGTATTGAATATATGATATATTTATGAAACAAATAAATAAACCAATATATTATATAATAGATAACTTTAAACTAAAACTAAATATATTGATCCAAAAAAAATTTTTAGAAAGTTTATATCTTATCAACAAAAAAAATTATACTGTTTTTTATATTGAATTTATTAAACAATTTATTGTTACTAACAAACATACATAAAATCTAATTTACATAAATAAGTAAATGAATATAATATACATATAATTTATATTTTAAAGAAATAAATTATTATTATTTTTTATTATTATTATAATAATATTGACATTTTGATATAATATAATACAAAACATATCATATTACATATAATATATATATATACAACATTGAAAATTGATATTTTTTTGTTGTTGTTTTATTCAAATAAAATATTTTTTTTAATAAATTTAATTTATTCATTGATTCATTCACTCATTCATTTTTTTATAAAATCTATTCAAATTTTAATGAATGAAACTTTACTAAAAAAAAAGTTACAATAAATAAATAGAAAGTATCTATAGATATATATATATATATATATAAAATAATATTAATTCATATTTATTTTATAATAATGATGTTATACTACTGTAAAATACATACAGAATATTATATATATAACAGAATATATTCTACATTTATATTAGAAAATAGAGAGAGAAAAAAACAAAAATAAAAAAAAATAATTATAAAATCATAGATAATTAAATGTACTGTAAATTTAAAATAAATTTCAAAATTACATTATTATTAGTAGTAGTATTATTATTTAGCATGAAATGAATCCGGATGTTATCATCAATCAGATATTTACTACTATTATTACTAATATATACAGTATTTAATTTATTTACACACAATCACTGACACACACACACACACACTAACACTCAAAGTAATATAATAATCAAAAACAAAAAAATTTAAACTATTTGCTAAAATTGCTTAAATTAAAATACTATGTGTGATATGTGACTATGTGTGGGTGCAATGTGTAATGATAATTGATTTGATAAATATAATAGACATATATATTATATTATTTAAATAATAATAAAAATAATAATAATTATTATTATTATTATTATTGTTTATTAGTATTAAATTTAAACAACAAAATAGTACTATTAATACTTATATAATGGTAATTAATTATACAAAAAAATTTGACAATTATTTTTTAATTAAATTGTTTGTAATAGATTGAAAGAAACAATAAACAATATTTTATTTTTAAAATTTTTATTTTATATTTACAATTAAGTTTAATGTTTACAACAACAACAAAATTATTAATAATGTGAAATAACTATGAAATAATTGTGTTGTCATTAAAATTATTAAATCTATTAATTAATTAGAAGATAATAATTAAAAAAAACTGATAAATAAATAAAACTATGAAATTATTTAAACAAAAATAACTAATTAATTAAATAAAAATTAAATTAAATAACAGAGTGTGACTTAAGTCAATAATTTATATGAAATCTATTTTTTTAAACAACAAAAACTTAAAAAAAATTGATAATTAAATAAAGTATTAATATCTATGTTATGTAATAATAATAATAATAATAATAATAATAACACACACAAAAAAGATAACTATTTAGCCGCCGATTACCAATAACTATTTGACCAACAAATGGCCGATTGAGGCCAACATTTGGGCCAATTCATCGCGAATTTGTGGTTCGGGTTCACTGCAGACCAACTCCTGAATACGTTTGATTGGCAACACTCGACAGAGATCGCCAACCAGTCGTAGCCGAGTGGTCGACTCGGGAACATCCAGTATAAGCTTATGGACAATCTTCAGGGCCAGTGTTTTGCTTGTATAGTCAAAACGGAGTTCATCGGCCACAACAATACCGGCCAATTGGCCGACCAGTTCCTGGGACTGTGACATTACTTGCTGTCCCTGACGATTGAAGCTGGCATTGAACAAAGCCATCAATGAGTTGCGAATGAATCGCTGGTCGACTCGTTGGACGGCCAGAAAACAATTGATCCATTGATGCCAATCGTCGAACAAGACTTCGTCTTCGCGAACGCATCGGTTGGCAAATACGTTGATACAGACGCCGCAAATCGATTCGATTGTTTCGCTATCGTATGGCCAATCCTGGCCAGTGTTGTCCGACACGGACACAATACCGATGCCGGCCGAATTGGTAGCCGCCGACAAAACAAACGTTTTCAACATTTGCAACATTGTCGACATAAACTGTCTAAAGTTGTCCTCTTCGGCAATCATCGCCCGGACAGTAGCCTCGGATCGGGTGGCACTCCAGACCAGTGCCAACATTGACCGTAAATAGTCATTGGGTTTATCGCTAAATTCCGATTGTTGTTGTTGTTGTTGTTGGCCACCAATGTTGTCCACTTCATCCGATATCGATATCTGTAACCATTCGTACTCTTCTCTAAGATTGCCATACAATTGCCTAACGGTTTCCAATTGGCGTTTCATGTTTTGTTCGCGTCGTAAACTTTTGGCCAAATCATCCGCCAATTGCCGACTGTCGCCGACTTGTTTGTCGACCAGTCGTTGCAATTGCTGGACATTTTGCTGAACGCGCGGTACGTACTGTTGGATGGACTCAAAAATCGATGCTTTGATCGACACGTGTACACCACTACTACTACTACTACTACCGCTACCGGTGGCCACTGAAGCCGACCGATAGTTTGGCGACCAATCGTTTAGAAGCGTCGAAATCAGATCCAATAGATTTCGCTGAATGTCGGACGTCTTGGCCGCCGCCGCGGCAATCATTTCGGTCATCGATAGGCCCGAATAATCCGTGACCATTGCCGCCGCCGCCGATAAACTACTGGTCACTAATGTCTGGTCACTGATATCGATGTCATTTTCATTGTTGTTGTTGTTGTTGTCATTGATATCACTATTGATTGTCTGATCCATTGTTTTTGATGACCGACTCATTGATTGATTGATTTGTTTTGTTTTGTTTTGTTTGGAAAATAACAATAAAAACAATAGAAATACTGTTTATTATTATTGACTATTAAATAGCGTTATAAATGGATAGAGTCTTAAAAAGCGGCGGCGGCGGCGGCTATGATAGCGGCGATGCTATTAAATTACAATAATCTGGTCAACAATACATTGAAATTAAAAAGTGACCAAGGTGTGGCAATGTTCTAGATAATTTTTAATCTGAATAAAATTCTGGATTTTTACAATTATTTTTTAAATTAATTAATTAATTGAATGATTGGACAGATAATTGCAGTCGTTTATCATTTTTTAATAAATTTTTTTAAAAAAAAGTGACTGTAAAAATTCAACAACAAAAAAAATCAACAAAAAAAAATGTGTAGCAGAGCGTGGATTCGAACCTCGGTCCTCGTGGGACAGCCAGACCGACAGAGTTGTTTTTTAATCAATATTGCAATAAATTAATAATATTTTTTCTAATTAATCAAATTATATTTTTATTACTAAATATAATAATAAAGTTTTTAAAGGTTTTTTATTAATATTAATTTTTTGTTATAATAATTAATTATTATAACTATATGTATTAAACAGTAAGTTTTGTATCAAATTTCGGTTAAAAAAAAAATTTACACTCAAAAAAATTATAATGTTATTCATACAAATCAATCAATTATTAATTTCAAAACAGTCACCGCCGCCAATGGATCGACAACTGGACATTGATATCGTCAGAAATTGCAAATATATCAGACGGCTTTACGAAGACAAAGATCCACAACAATTAGCCATAGATAAGGTCTATCCGAAAGAATTCAATTTCTAATAGTTTTACACCCGAAGCCAGTCTATCGACTATTCAATCGTATTGTCCGCCGCCAGCCTATCCACCGGTAAAGGTAACCCTAAATGCCCAGACCCAAGACTATCGGCTATACTATTTGCCACAAATATTATCTACAGGGGCCGCCGGCTCCCACGCCGACAATAAAAAAGTATGATTTTGCGGACAGTCTTTACTAAATACAATATTATCCAATGGACCTACAAGACAGAGCCGGGCGACACAACTATCTATCCATTAGGTAAACAACAGGAGTCTACAGTACTACTTGAGCTGAGAAAAGAGTCGGCCGTTTTCAATGAATACAAATGACAGTCAATCGACAATCCATTTGATTTCAAACATTTGCTGGAAAATCGCAAAGACTATCGATTGGGTGTCGACGGCAGATACTATCAGAAGATGGACAACACTGTTATCGGTAAAGTCCAGTGTCTTTACTACGAGTTTGTCGAAAGCGAAAACAAAAACTCAATACCGATAACCATTAAGTGGAAAGTTGTTGACTTTATTGCCAGCGGACGCAAAGGTTTGTTCGGTAACGGCTTAACCGATAGCCAAATGCATACATTGGCTACAAATAATGATTTCGTTTTTCCCCAGTATTTGTCGGGTAGTTTAAGTAGTAGTAGTGGTCAGTCATCATCACAGATGACAACAACGTCGTCAACAGCAGTAAAAACAAGGACAACAACAACAACCTCGCCATCAAAGTCAAGGTCGACATCATCGACGTCGTCGTCGAAAGAAAAGACCAAAGAAGAAGAAGAAAAGGAAGAAAAGAAGAAGTCGGCCGACACTTCTAGTAGTAGTAGTAGTAAAGGACAAAAGCGTAGTCGTTCTACATCTTCAGCGGACAAACAAGAAGAAGAAGAAGACTCGAGAAATAAGAAATAGAAGAAAGAAGACAAACAAAAGAAGAAGAAAAGAGAAATAAGACGTTTAAATATTGTTTATATTTTTACTGAATGTATTTCAAACAATTTAATTTAAAAAAAAAAAAAAATTTTGTTTAAATTGTTTTACAACAATAAAAAAAATAAATAATTTTTTTTCCTAATTTTTAAATTTAAGGAAAAATAATAAATGAAAATCAGTTCAATAGTTTCACAATCAATGATAGTCTAAACTTTTAGCACAACTTCTTCAGACAACAAACAGATAATTCAATCAATCAATCAACTGATAGACTAAACACATACATACCTACCGCACATACACACACACTGACACAAACTACCGGTGCTTATCAACAATGAGCACCACCAGCAAAGAGGAAGGAGAGATCAGTAGCAGTAGTAGTATGGATGAAATCGCCGGCAAAGAGGAAGGAAAGATCAGTAGTGATGAAGAAGGAGAAATCAGTAGCAGTGATGAACAGTCTGAACAAATGATTGTCAATGAGGAACTGGATGTTAGTTCAATGGAAGTCTATTTTAACAAAACCAATGAATCGATTTTGTATTTAAGAGACGCCTACTATCCAGTGATACCACCACCACTACCACCATTACCTATACTACCACCACCACCACCATTAGCACTAGGACTAAAGCCACCACCACTAGCACTACTACTACGACCACGACAACCATCACAATTACCAATAAGACTACCACCACCAGCACCATCACAATTACCAATACGACTACCACCACCACCACCACCACCACCATCACAGTTACCACTACGACTACCACCACCACCACTACCGCAGGTTACATCGACAGCACCATCAACTTCACAACAACAACACCTACCATTGGGAACTACTACTACTCGACAACATCTATCATTCTGGTCGTTCAACGGCTATCATCGGGTTTATGGACTCTATATTCAACGGCGCCGCTATATAACTGAACAAATGAGCACTGCATTGATTGCCTATCAATATGCAACTAGTAAACAGTTTCAAGGTAAACCCATAACTGCCCACTTTGCCATATATTGGCCACAGAGACCGTACGTTGTTTTACTATACGGCGAATGCTACGATCGAAACGGTCAGATCGATCAACAGAAACAAAGGAAACAGTTTTGGTGGTATCAGTCGATCACCTCAACGATGCTCATTGGTTGCAATGTTAACCAATTGATGATGGATATGGCGGCTAGACGTGGGGTGCAGTTACCGCCGGCGCCGGCCAGCTGTATGGATGTTTATGATCAACATCACGACGCAAGCAAATACTTTTGGACGCTATCCCGACGTCAGTTGGGCACTCATCTGGCCCTTCAACCGGACGGAAGTTTGTTGACTATCAGATTGTTTGTCCGATTGGATAAAAAACCCGAGATGTCCAGTAAGTCCAAGAAGTCTAAATCCAGTGACAGTAGAAGTAGAAGTAGAAGTAGAAGTAGAAGTAGAAGTAGAAGTCGTAGTCGTAGTCGAAGTCGAAGTAGTAGTGAGAGTAGTAGTGATGACGTTGACATCCAGTTTGATATGAATACCTCAGCGAAAGTCATTGCCCAATATCCGACTATACGTAATGAAAAGGATTTGAAGCTAACGGATGGTCGAAAGGTAATGATTAGACAAATGTTTACAATGGGTCTAACCTATAGGCGATTCGGTGCTAATCAGAAATCGGAGGTCTATCTAAAGAAAGAAAAAATTGATACTCGGATCAGATTTCAAGAAGTACCGATCGATATCTGGAATCCTGACGGCCAGTACCGTAATGATTTGCAAACCGATGACCGAATCTATAGTCGATTCCAGTTTGAAACCGATCCGATCAGCTGTGGCGGTGTCTGCGAACTGACTGAACAACTATACAAAACCAATTACTTTGATGCGGACAAACCGTCAAATCCGATGTCGACACCACCGTCTACGGGTAGCCAATGTTTTGCATTGTATGTATGTGCCGGCGCCAAACTGATTGTCAGAGACAGTTATCACAATGAACCGGAAAATGAACACCACAATCAGTCATTGGTCGAACAGGGAGGTGTGGTTGTAGTCGAAGACCTGCTGTACATGTCGGTGCCCGTCGAAGATCATACAAAGACTAGTAGTGGTGGTGGTCATATCATACGGTGGCCATGGAAGCAGTTTTTCAAGAAATTTATCGATAATAAAGAAATAGCGGATAAATTCCACGATTATTCAAATCCGGTAATATTTTTGGGTCCAAATGAATCCGATTATAATACCATTACCTGGCAATTGACTATCGATAAGATAGGTTATGAACACAAGGACAACGATCATTACCGATACGAACGTCGCTGTTATCTATCAGTACCCGAAGGCGGCCATATTGTGGCCATAGAAAATTGGGAGACAGGACTTCAGGAGATCTGGTCTCGGCATCGGTACGAACAGCTACATCTGGCAATTGTCCGGCACAGTCAGCCAATGGGCAGTTATCTGTATGTACGTCCCAGTAGGTTTCAGATACCGGCCAATGACCAGTTGCTCAGAAAGATTATATGCAATCAAATTGTATTGAATACTTCCACTGATCAGTCATCGCCACCACCGCCGCCAATGGATCGACATCTGGACATTGATATCGTCAGAAATTGCAAATATATTCGACGGCTTTACGGAGACAAAGATCCACAACAATTAGCCATAGATAAGGTCTATCCGAAAGAATTCAATTTCTATAGGTTTACACCCGAAGCCAGTCTATTGACTATTAAATCGTATTGTCCGCCGCCAGCCTATCCACCGGTAAAGGTAACCATAAATGCCCAAAAACATCGGCTATACTATTTGCCACAAATATTATCTACAGGCTCCCACCCAGACAACAAAAAGTATGATCTGCGGACAGTCTTTACTAAATACAATATTAGCCAACAGACCTACAAGACAGAGCCGGGCGACACAACTGTCTATCCATTAGGCAAACAACAGGAGTCATCAGTACTGCTTGAGCTGAGAAAAGAGTCGGCCGTTTTCAATGAATACAAATGGCAGTCAATCGACAATCCATTTGATTTCAAACATTTGCTGGAAAATCGCGAAGACTATCGATTGGGTGTCGACGGCAGATACTATCAGAAGATGGACAACAATGTTATCGGTAAAGTCCAGTGTCTTTACTACGAGTTTGTCGAAAGCGAAAACAAAAAGTCAATACCGGTAACCATTAAGTCGAAAGTTAAGGACATTATTGGTGGCAGACAACGAGGTTTGGTCGGAAACATAATAACCGATAACGAAATGCTGTCATTGGCTACTAATAATGATTTCGTTTTTCGCCAGTTATCGTCGGGTAGTAGTAGTAGTCAGTCATCATCACAGATGACAACAACGTCGTCAACAGCAGTCAAAACAACGACAACAACAACCTCGCCATCAAAGTCAAGGTCGACATCATCGACGTCGTCGTCGAAAGAAAAGACTAAACATGAAGATGAAGAAGAAGAAGAAGAAAAGAAGAAGAAGTCCACGGATTATGAGCCATCTTATGATGACTACTACCGTCCAAGCGGTTCGGGCGCCACTACTAGTAGTAGTAGTAGTAGAGGACAAAAGCGTAGTCATTCTACTTCTTCAGCGCACAAACAAGAGGAAGAAGATGATGATGAAGAAGAAGAAGAAGTAGATGAAGATGAAGATGAAGATGAAGATGAAGATGAAGATGAAGATGAAGATGAAGATGAAGATGAAGATGAAGATGAAGATGAAGATGAAGATGAAGATGAAGATGAAGATGAAGATGAAGATGAAGACTCAAAAAGTAAGAAACATAAGAAATCTAAGAAATCTAAAAAATCCAAGAAATCCAAGAAATCGAAGAAATCGAAGAAATCGAAGAAATCGAAGAAATCGAAGAAATCGACGAAGAAAAAGAAGAAGAAAAGTGAAAGAAGACATTGAATGATAACAATGACAACAACAACGACAACTGGATTATCATATTATTAGTAGTAATAGTCGTTTGTATTTGTTATCAGAAATTGCATTAAAAAAAATAATTTATTTTTGTTTAATTATTATTATTATTATTCAATTACAATGTATTCATAATTAGTTTTTGTTTTATTTTTTTTGTTTAGTTTTATTTATTTTAATTTAATAATAATTAACTTATATTTTAGTTTTTTTTTGTAATTACAATTATGTACAATAATATAATATAATTATAAATTATTAATTGATCCAATTATATCAATTAAATAATGCTAGTTTTGTAATATTAAATTGATAATAATTTTATTATAATTTTTTTCTATAAATAAATTTAAAATTGTTTGTATTTACACATTTATCAATATTGTTAAACATAATAATAATAATACCAAACTTAATTAAATAATTATAAGTTATTATTTAAAAAAAATGTTAATAAATAATTTAATTATTAATCTAAAAGATATTTCAACAACAAAAAAATAAATAAAACAATTATAAACATAAAACAATAGTTATTTAGCATGATAAATTAAATTCAATAATTTATATAAATTGTTTAATTGATTATTAACTGATGCAGCTATAAATAAAATAAATAAAAATACAGTCAAATATAATATGAATGTATAAAATAATATAGATTTTATAATAATAGTTAGTGTCATAAATAGCCACATATATAATAAAACAATTGTCGCTAAACCATAGGTTAGCCAAATATATAGTAAAAATTTTGACCAATAACTCAGATTATAGTCAATGATTTCGTTAAACAATTTGTCCAATAATTTTAGTTTAATATTTAATTTGTATAGATTTTGCTGACAATAACGTTGCGATAATTGTTTCAGTAACTGTTGTTTAATAACTAATAATTTTAGTTTCAAATAACGGGAAAGTATGTAAAAATAGATGACCTGATAGGACAGTATGTTCCAAAAATAATGTATCCATAGGGACAGTAGCAGTGCATTGGGTATACCATAAACTAGGACATAGCTGACTGGTAGTTTCAATAGATAACCAAACAAACATATAAAACAAGTAAACGGTGGACACAGGATGTTATTGTTTAGCTGAAAGTAACGGAATAACCAGCGCATTATCATAATTAGCTTATGTATCTCACGGGGATCACTGAGACCAACGCTGGCCGGTGTCCGCAAACCGGACATCATATGGAAAACCCGTAAAAATGTCGGTTCAATGCCAGCAGTCATTGGGTTGTAGTTATAGTAATAACAGTAGGTTAACGATGACATCAAAGTCAATAGCGATAAAAATATTATAATGATATTCATTAGTAGTTTAATACCCAAAAAGTATAACCAAAATCACCGAACAGTGCCAACAATTGTTGACAATTATTGTCGACATCGATAAACATGACAACTATATTGTTAAGCAATATTAGCAAACATACGGTTATTATAAGTGACGGACGATTAAACCATAGTCTCTTAACTGGACACCAATTATCATCAGTACTGTTGGCTGGTATCGGTAATCGATGGCTACATAAGCCGATACGATATAAATGATAGGCCGACCATTTGTAGCAAACATTTTCTGGTAATAATTTTGTGGCCGAAAAACTAGACATTTTTTTCTGTGTCTATCTATTAATATACTATAAATTTAATATAAAACAAATTAAATATACATTTATTTATTACTTTATAAATTCAAATTTTACTAAAAACTATTTTTTTGATCAATATCAATATATATATATATATATATAACTTATATATTACTATCTAATTATAAAATTTAATTTTATTATTATTATCTAATTATTAGATCAATAATATATATATATCGTTAAACAAATTATCTAATAAAAAATAAGTTAATAGACTGAACATTAAATAAGTCTATTATAAATAAGTATTTTATATAGATTTTTATATTTTTAAAAACTAATTTAATATATTTATATTGATAAATATAAATGCTATTATAATTTAAAAATATTTTATGTATTTAAATTTAAATATATTAACTTTAATTATTATTAAATAAAATAATTTTTTTTAATGAAAGTTAAAATAAATAAAACTAAGAAAACAAAAAATAAAACAAACACTAAGTATAAATAATACTGTAAATAATGAATAATAATAATAATAATTAAACAAAAATAAAATATTATTATTTTTTTTTTGTTTTTTTATTCAATTTCTGATAACAAATACTAACGACTATTACTACTAATAATATGATAATCCAGTTGTCGTTGTTGTTGTCATTGTTATCATTCAACGTCTTCTTTCACTTTTCTTCTGCTTTTCTTCGTCTTCTTTCTTCTTCTTCTTACTACTCGAGTCTTCTTCTTCTTCTTTTTCTTGTTTGTCCGCTGAAGAAGAAGTAGAATGACTACGCTTTTGTCCTCTACTACTACTACTACTACTGCTAGTAGTGGCGCCCGAACCGCTTGGACGGTAGTAGTCATCATAAGATGGCTTATAATCGGTGGAATCCTTCTTCTTTTTTTCTTCTTTTTCTTTAGTCTTTTCTTTCGACGACGACGTCGATGATGTCGATCTTGTCTTTGATGGCGATGTAGTTGTTGTTGTTTTGACTGCTGTCGACGTTGTTGTCATCTGTGATGATGACTGACTACTACTATCCGGCGAATAATCGGGAAAAACGAAATCATTATTATCACTTAATAACTGCATTTCGTTATCGGTTATCATGTTTCTGACCAAACCTTGTTTTTTGTCGCCAATAATCTCATTAACTTTTGAATCAATGGTTATCGGTATTGACTTTTTGTTTTCGCTTTCGACAAACTCGTAGTAAAGACACTGGACTTTACCGATAACAGTGTTGTCCATCTTCTGATAGTATCTGCCGTCGACACCCAAACGATAGTCTTCGCGATTTTCCAGCAAATGTTTGAAATCAAATGGATTGTCGATTGACTGCCATTTGTATTCATTGAAAACGGCCGACTCTTTTCTCAGCTCAAGTAGTACTGTTGACTCCTGTTGTTTGCCTAATGGATAGATAGTTGTATCGCCCGGTTCTGTCTTGTAGGTCTTTTTACAAATGTTGTATTTAGTAAAGACTGTCCGCAGATCATACTTTTTGTCGGAGCCGTCGGACACTATAGATAATATTTGTGGCAAATAGTATAGCCGATGGCCTTTGATCTCAGCATCTAAGCTTACCTTTACCGGTGGATAGGCTGGCGGCGGACAATACGATTTAATAGTCGATCGACTGGTTTCGGGTATAAAACTATAGAAATTGAATTCTTTCGGATAGATCTTATCTCTGGCTAATTGATCCCCGTCTTTGTCGCCGTAAACCCGACTGATATATTCGCAATTTGTGACGATATCAATGTCCAGATGCCTGTCCGTTGGTGGCGGTGGTGGAGGCGATGTCTGATCTGCTGTAGTACTGAAAACAAATTTATTGCATATAATCTTTCTGAGCAACTGGTCATCGGCCGGCACCCGAAACCCACTGGGTTTTGTCTGTTCATACAAATAGGCCATTGGCTGACTGTGCCGAACAATTGCCAGATGTAACTGTTCGTACCGATGCCTGGACCAGATCTCTTCCAATCCTGAATTCCAATCTTCGACGGCCACAATATGGCCGCCTTCGGGTACCTGTAGATAACAGTGACGTTCGTATCGGTAAACATCGGTCTCATTTTTAACTGGCCGTTCACTGCCTCTCTTATCGATAGTCAATTGCCAGGCAATGGTATTATAATCGGATTCATTTGCGCCCAAAAATATTACCGGATTTGATTTATACACGAATCTATCGGCCATTTCTTTATTATCGGTAAATTTTTCGAAAAACTGCTTCCATGGCCACCGTTTGATACGACCGCCACCAGCGACAGTGTGATCTTCGACGGGCACTGATATGAATAGGAGGTCTTCGACTACAACCACACCTCCCTGTTCGACAAGCGACTGATTGTGCGACTCATTGTCCGGTTCGTTGTGATAACTATCTCTGACTATCAGTTTGGCTCCGGCACATACATACAATGCAAAACATTGTCCACCAGTCGCCAACAATTGATTTGACGGCTTATCCGCATCAAAGTAAGCAGTTTTGAATAGTTGTTCAGTCAGTTCGCAGACACCGCCACAGCTGATCGGATCGGTTTCCAACTGTAATCGACTATAGATTCGGTCATCGGTTTGCAAGTGCCGCTCTATACGGTACTGGCCATTAGGATTCCAGATATCTATCGGTACTTTTTTAAACTCTAGTTTCGGGCCACGGATGTCAGTATTTTTCTTCAAATAAACCAGTGATTCGTTGTCGTTACCGAATCGCCTATAGGTTAGACCCATTGTAAACACTTGTCGATTCATTACCTTTCGACCACCGGTTAGCTGCAGATCCTTTTCATTACGTATAGTCGGATATTGGGCATTGAGTTTCGCTGATGGATTCATATCAAATTGGATGTCAATTTGATCTCTACTACTACTACTACTACTACTGTCATTGGACTTAGACTTCTTGGATTTCTTGGACTTCTTGGACTTCTTGGACTTCTTGGACTTCTTGGACTTCTTGGACTTCTTGGACTTCTTAGACTCCTTGGACTTCTTGGACTTTTCGGGTTTGTTAGCCAATCGGACAAATAATCTGGTAGACGAAATTTTTCCGTCCCGTTGAATGGCCAGATGTGTGCCCAACTGACGTCTGGCTAGTGTCCAAAAGTATTTGTTTGAATCCTGATCGCCATAATAGAGTAGTTTAACGCTTGCCGGTTCCGGCGGTAGCTGATCCTCACGTCCACCAGCCATATCCATCATCAGTTGGCTAGCATTGCTACCAATGACCAACATTGAGGTCATCGACTGGTACCACCAGAACTGTTGTTTGAACTTAGCGGTCAACTTACAGATCCGACCGATTTGGTCGTAACATTGGTCGTAGTATTGACATACGTACGGTTTCAGTGGCCAATATAGGGCAAAGCGATGCGATTTACCTTCAATCGGCTTATTGGTTGCAAATTGAAAGGCATTCAATGAAGTTATGACATGTTTC